CCTCAACGCTCTTAGTTTCCATTATGGGCGCTGGTACAATCGATATCGGTATCTTCTTAGGCAGCTCAATATTGGATGCCACAGTTGTGGGTATGGGATTTATAATCTCATCATTGGTTACAACTTTTGTTGGCGACACCAAAGAGTTCATTACCGGATTGGAAATGGGAGTCAGCGTGGAGCTCACAGTGCTGCATACATCCGCTAAAGCCTGAAGCTGGGTAGTATTCACTTCGGGGACTGTGCGCGAATTTGTAGACGTTGTTGTTGTCGTCGTGAGGGTCATGCAGGTATTGATAGAGGGTATTATAGGTATTATGGGCATAACCATCTCAACTTGCGGCTGAGGCTTAGCAATCGGTCCCCAGGCTTCTTTCTCCACAAAGAACTCCGGCAACCAATCATTGATAGCGTTTCTATGGGGTTAAACATAATCATGAGCTAGTAGGAATTATCTAAGTAGTTACAAAAGTTATATTACTTAAGAGCCAAGCGCGGGTGGTATACGTTCTTCGACAGACACTCTACTGGTAAATCGTCTTCATTTTCAGTCTCCAGCTTTATATCAGCGCTCAATGAGCTATTCATCTTTGAATCCATGCTGCAGCGCGACCAGAAGGCCAACGTATGCACTGCTATGAAATTTCCATAGAACTCGCAATTGGGATTAGTCATAATACCTCGCAAATAAGGAATAAGCTCTGGCGAACGACCCGTGTATGGGCCTAGGAAGACACGTTTTTGGTCGTAATCGTTCGCATGCAGATTATCCCAAATGACAGGCGGACGGCGCAGTACCTCAGTTATTTCCCGTATCGACTCAATCGTTATAACCTTCGATATCACCTTATCGCCCGTCCAGAGAATATCAATCTCATTGTTAAGCTTAGAGCCAAGCGTATTCAGGTATTCCGAATCGACAACAGTGGGCACGGCACGCGATGCACAATACTGAGTTGGGCAGAAAAGGAATTTGGGGCTGCCTAAATGAGTGAATATCTCATTGGTCACCGAGACCTGAGCATTAGCGAACGTTTGGAATACCTCCTTGTCCGCTTTGGACAACTCTGATTCAATGTCATCGAAGAGCAGAGCATAGCCGTCACAGCCGAACTGTGATACCTGATCTAGCTTGCGCTTCAACGTCGCAATCTCCTTCTGGCTGCTGTACGTCATATCCAAACCCGGCGATAAAGCGTAGTAGAACACTATACCCGCTTCCCTAGCAGCTGTAATCAGACCTAATATATAAAATTAAAAACACATTTGCCTTTGAATAAATAGCCGCAAGCAATTGTTGAAAATAGCGCAAATAAATACTTGACAGATGATCCGCCTCTTCGACGGTGTAGAGCTCACGCCAGTATGCACGATGCTTATAATCATCTTTCGGTGCGTACATATACGAATCCATTCCAAGTTTTTTTAATTTGCGAAACAAATCTTTTCGCTGTTCGGTAGTCCATGGTCGCCCATAAAAGCCTTCGATTACACCGCAAATGAACTGACGTAGGTTTTCAGTTTCGTGTTCTAAAGTTTCACATTTTTCCCTCATGTGACCGTCTTCCATTTTCACAGAATCAGGATAGATGCGAGCTAAATGCTTATTAATTTCAGATCACAAACGCTAATGCGGCAAACGTATTGGTGGCCATTAATCAGTGTGACCGAATTTCGTATATGCAAATATTCTATTAAATAGAAAAGCATCGATTAATAATTTTCGTCGATAAGTAAGTAGGCAACCGACAAATTCATTGCTTAAGACCGTTAGATTTAAAAATAGAAAATTTTCTATATGTGTACATTTATTACACTCTTTTTGAGTACGATTACTTGTACATGCTGAACAGTCTTAAACAATTTAAAATATATGTTATTTATAAGAGTAAAATCTTTGTTAAGAAAGAAATAAATATGTTGTTATTATTTTTTGTTACTATTTATGTGGATTTAAATACTAGAATATCGATTACTCTTCGACAATTACGCGCATGCCAATTATCGACTAGTTGGGGTATATTCGTAGACTTGCGCTAGTAGTATTTTATGGAAATTAGCTCACTGCTTTGTAGTGTTCTTGTTTTCGTTTGAATTAAAAAACAAACAGAAAAAACCAGATTAATTAATTGCAATTATGTCCAGAACTCGGATATACGGATCTAGTGAAAATGAAGATGCGGAAGTAAATGCACTCTTCGACAAGCCAAAACTTATGTTCGCACCTACGTTGTCAAATGTATTTGAACAAATCAAAAGTCAAAGTGCATTAAATTTACTGCCGTCTACTTCGAAGGCTGCCTCTGCAACCAATGAACAATTTGTGGAGAAACTTACAATAAACGGCAAGCAAGTCGAAATTCGGCCATCCAAGATGGCTGCTGTTAATACAAGCTTAGAGAAGCAAAAACCAAATAAGAGAACCGCCACTAATGGCAACGGTTTTGGAAATGTGAATGAAATTGATTTGTGTCATAGCCAAATTGCAAATATGGATGTGGGTCCACTTTCTATGCCCTCTACTGAGCCCACGAGCGTCCCTAACCTTAAAATAACCTCAAAATGTGATGGTGAAATTAATGACTCTCAGTACAATATGAAGCCGGCGCCTTTGTATTTATATGAAGTCACTGATATTAAGGCTCTGTCCGCTGAGCTGAATAGTGTTGTTGGTGAAAACAATTTCACAACAATGCCTGCTGCCAAGTGCGTCATTAGAGTTCAATGCAATGACATAGCCTCTTACAACAAACTCGACAAATACGTCATGGAGAAGAAGCTAGATAGGCATACGTTTCAGTATGGCTTTAGGGCCTTCATTAGACACCTACATCATTCAACGCCTGAAAAATGGATTCGTGAGAAGCTAACCAATCTGGGGCATGACATCATATTCCTCAGAGTCATCAAAAATCGCTACAACAATCAGCCGCTCAATCTCTTTGAGGTTGTGCTGCAAATGAAGGACAACAATGCCGAGTTATTCAAACTTGGCTCACTCGGCAGCCAGATAATCAAGGTTGAAGTGCCATTAAAAGTGCCTGAGGTGCCACAGTGTCACAGGTGTCAGAGGCTTGGACACACCAAGAACTATTGCAACCGCCCCTTCGTGTGTGTCAAGTGTGGAGAGAATCACGCAACAACTGCCTGCACTAGGCAAAAGAATGACGAGTCGCCAGCCAAATGCGCAAACTGCTTGGGCCCGCATGCGGCCAGCTACAAGGGATGCCCCGTATACAAGGCGGCGAAAACAAACGCCAATTCAGCCAAGTTAAACAAGCTTATTACTGGTTTAACCAACGCTACTCCAGCCACTCCAGCCACTGTTGGTAGACGTAAACCTGTAAACAAGAAGTCGACCACCCAGCCGACCTTCAAAGAGCCATTGCCACTTGCTGCAAGGCCGCAACAACAACAGCAACAAAGAAGCCGCAGTCTAAGTATCAGACGCACGCCTTCATGGCCTACTCTAACACATAGCTCAGCTACTAATTACAATAATAACACACAATTAGATCAAACAACATTAGAATCTAAACTAGATATACTAATAGAAATGGCCAGTACACTTGTACAAATGCTTGTGGCCGCTCGACTGCCCATTCCTGAAGCTCAATAGCCCAAAAACCTGAATCAAACAAATCAATCAATAAAAGTTGCATATATATACTTCAACACTCACCATATAAAACAATAGTTAAATTCACACATACCTGAAAGTAAATAAATAACATAAATAACCAATAATATCTTTAATAAATCAACTTACCTGATGTCCTGCCATATCAATCCGCTATACCTATATAATTTCCACACAAAATAATACCATGCATCAAAATACACATTCAAACCTAAAAAAAAGGTATATCAATTAATTACAATAACATCACAATTATTTCAATAATCACTTACCTGCCATACATCCATGGTGCCATTTCACTGCAAATAAAACAATAAATAAGTAAATTTATTACAATTTGCTGATCCTCTGATCAGAATCAAACAATCCAAACAAAGTAAACAAACATGTGATCAAAACAGAATTTGCATAAATTCTCCTTATGTCTATTGTATAGATATCGATTACAATGATACAATGGAATTGAAACATTAACCAACTAAATTTAAAAAAATAACATCAAATTAATGAATAGAATAAAAAAAGTTGAACTAATCTGAAATATAAATATTAGTATTAATAAATAACTCATACATTATACTTACCTCATCGTTGCGATCTACTGTGGCTGCCATTTGGACTCCTGGAGATGACATCTGACGGCTGCTGCCCACACCTGAAATGAAGACTATATTAGTTGAATATTAAGTTAGCTCTAATTTTATTTCAAACTATATATAAGAAGATAACAATACTTTGTCTTACTGCCTTCAGCCATTGAAATTAATAAATTTTTCTTTACTCATTTCAAATACTAAAATTCTGTAAACATTTGTTATCTTGTGCCAATTTAAACTAATATTAAAAGGAAAGTTTCGTAATTATCGACCTATTGTAATAAGGCGCTATACCTATTCATAAAATATGCAATGTAATTATTTGAATAGAGAATATCTCCACCCCTTCTTCCCCTCGTCGTGGATCTGCTAGTCAGCTCATCATGGTGGGAAGAAGCTGAGATCATTAATGTGTGTTCTCTGCAACATACCAACAGAAAATTGCTTAAGACCGTTAGATTTAAAAATAAAAATTTTTCTAATGTGTACATTTATTACACTCTTTTTAAGTACGATTACTTGTACATGCTGAACAGTTTTAAACAATTTAAAATAAATGTTATTTATAAGAGTATTACTGGTCAGTGGTATTATTACTATTATGTGGATTTTAAATACTAGAATATCGATTACTCTTCGACAATTACGCGCATGACAATTATCGACTAGTTGGGGTATATTCGTAGACTTGCGCTAGTAGTATTTTATGGAAATTAGCTCACGGTCGCACTGCTGTGTAGTGTTTTTGTTTTCGTTTGAATTAAAAAACAAAACAACAAATGCAACCATTTATTGTTATACGGAACTATCGAGAAGATGACGAACTTAAATGCCAGGAGCTGGTGCGAGATTACATCATGTCATTCTCCTTAAAGTCTTTCTTCACGCTCTGCTTTCGTGAGGTAAGTTGGTGACAAATGCGTGGCCTATCGATGTTCAAGAGTGGCTGCATCTGTGGAGTGCCTGTCCCTCATACCACATGATGCATTTCACACTTATATAGTGTCATCATTATTTCAGATTACACTGCAATTTATTGTCATCACTTGGGCCGTATTTTTCATATTTTTGGGTGTGCCGCTACTCTTCTGTGTGCTAACCATACCCGGCTGTGTGTTTTTTCTCTTCACCAGCACCTACTTTTCCTTTTATGCCAAGGCAGTAGAGCTAATGAGGGTAACTAAGTTTCTCAGTAGTGTCAATAATTCTAATTGCTTACATTACTCAGGTGAAGCCCTCACAATCGTTGGTGGCTGAGTGTTACGAGCCATTCATTTTCCGTTGTGCACCAAACGAGGCTAGCTATCAGATTTTTATGGATAGGCCACCATATGATGAAAACTATTTGAACAAGTTTCGTCGCCGAATTGTAGCCACCGTAAGCGTTAAGAATCATCATGCTGTCTACAATGCCGCCTGGATATACCGTTTTGCGATTGCCAAACAGTATCCGCATCAAAAAATCATGGAGCCCATGATAAATCTGGTCTCGAAGAACTGCATCAACGGCGGTTACGCTTCGCTGGAATGCACCATATCCGAATGGCAAGAAAGCGAACGTGACTTCTACGACGATCTTGGTTTTGTGACAAGACAAATCTATCACAAGCAAATCATTGGCAGCACGCTAACAGTGATGAAGACCCAGTTAACATATAATTTAAAGATAGACGGTGCTCTGCAAAAGCAGAATTAGTGGGATATACGAGGAATATTCTCTGTATAAAAAATAATATAAAATCTCTCGGGAAAACAAAACTGTGACATTTAGCACAATTATTTATGTTTATTTTTGTATTGTATAAACATTCCACTCTTGCGAATTTTTTTATTTTGTATAAAAAGAAAATACGTTGCTTTTGTTTTGTCCTGCTTTTTAATTTTTGACATATTCTATTTAAATAAATAAAATATATGTATATTAATAAATAAAAGTTGCAAGTGTTTTTAGCTGCTTTGCACATCGCATTTAATTCTGAATCAATTTCTCTTCGATTCGTTTTTGTTTTTCCTTTCTGTATAAGTAGTAGGTACATTTATTTCTTTCTTTGATGCGATCCACTCTCTTGGATTAGCCGTTGTATTCTGTTTATATGAAAAAAAGCTTTCACTGGTCGATTAACTGATTGAAATTTGTATACCCAGCAGACCGCCATTAATATCGCCTGGATGGAGGGAGGATACGTTAAAGCCTTTTACAATTTCGGACTCTGATGGCAGACTTAATTGTTAAATGCTTAGGTTATACTCTGCTAGGGTACTTGCGGGTCGGCGAGCCGACGTTTTTAGTTTATTTCTTATAGAATTTAAATAGTTATCAGCGCAACTAATGCTTAAAAAAATAAATTGGAGCTGCCAGCTGGGCAGTCCATTCTTCAAACGTAACTATCTCTATATCTTCTATATACGTTTTGCCTTCTTCTTCATCTTTCTTATTTTTCAATTATTTTTTTAAAGCGTGTTTCGAAAACTGGCTGTGAAGTTAGCATAGTTTTTCTGTTGTTTATGGTTTGGGGCCTCTTTTAATATGTAGTTATGAACCACTCAAAATATTTAGGTAATTGATTTGGTTTCGTCACAAGCAACTGCTCACGAGGATGCAGCCAGCTATTTAGAAGAGCTTCACGCGTCGCTTCAACTCATTGCGCCTCCACTGCGGCAGCCTATAAAACTCCGATCGTGTGCACTGCAAGATGTGCTCAAATTCGATGTCCGACAAATGACGCTGCAATAGAAATGGAAATTTGTATATAAACGAGTACGGTCTTAAATAATTTACTTTTATCTGGCTTAGCTTACCTCCAGGTTGCAGCGATCTACGTCCGATGGCAGACGATAATTCGTTATAAGCAATATGTGATACGGATAGATCTTAGCTGGCTCGTGCACGAGCATCGAGTGCGCCATATTGGGCAGGCTGCGTCGTATGAGCCCCGCCTGCGGGTAGTGGTAGGACAGGGCACCCGAATAGGTGCTCGAAGCTGGCAAATCTCCGCCCATCAGAGCGCGCCTGTCGCCCTCTGTGATTGAGTCAACCGATGCTGCAAAGAGTAAATTTTTAGATATAGTATATTTTTAGATACAGTATCTATACTGTATACAGTACACAATATATTTATTAGCAGTCAATCTTTATCAATATTAGTCGGACACATCAGCCCAGAAGAAGAAGAATTCAATGAATTCACAAGCTCAAATCTGCAGCAATCATCGATCAGTCAATTAATCATTCACTGCCGAGTTCAAAGCAGCACTAGTTTTTAGTTATTTACCATAAAGTAGCTTCTCTGAATAGTTTAGTCTACCCTCACTTACCATAAAGTTGTGTTAGGAGTTGGCAGTAGTCAGCCAATCAATAAATTAATCAGTTCGCCGAAACTTACCCTCTGATTTGCCGCAACTCAAATCTGTGCTGTGCGTTTTGTCTCCCAGACCTCCATAGGAAAAGTCCTGCATGGGATATGGAAATGTACAATAGATTAGTTTAATGTATATCACAAAGCTGTAAGCATGCCAAAACCAATCAAATAATAATAACAAATCAAAAATCAATTGAAACAGATCTATAGATGTGTGTGTGTGTGTTTAAGGTTTCACAACTAAAAACAAATAACAAGCTTAGGCATTCCAAGAAAGTGCAAATGAAATCAAAACGGAAAATAAACTAAGGCATTCTTACAATGGCACCATGCATCGTGGCTGCGGCAGATGTAGTTGAGCTGAATGTATGAGAGCGCGGAGCCAACCCGTATCCGGGTTTCGGTACGTGACGCAGCGCGCTTACCACTGAGCCGAGTTGTATGTGGTGTATGGTGTATGTGATGGATTGAATGTAGTGTGATTGATTAAATTGATTGTTAGTGTTGTCAATCGAGAACAGTAATGTAAGTTGTAGATATTATGTGTATTTGATTAATTATGTAGTCGTCATGTATGTCATCACATGGATGTAGTTAATGTAAATGTTTTCAGGTATGGTAAACATATAGCATAGGCAAACACACATAAATAGTTGGAAAGTAAATGTAAGAGGCACAGCACAAGAAAGCAGCAGACCAACCAGTTGAGATTTGAGTTAGATCCAAGGGACCGAGTCGAAAATTAAAGTTGGAGTTAAAGCAGCAGTAGCAGGAGCAGCCGAAAGAGACAAACGTTTGTATTTTTTTAGTAAATGAGCAACCGGTGAATACGATCGAAAATGTTACTTAAAATGCTACAGATTCACATATGTATGCGGATTATTAGATAATGCTAGCTACAGGACCATTGACCGAACACCAAGGAACAGCAAAAAACCGATAACTGAGTCTCAGCACTTACGGAGCTGTAGCCGTTGCGTATGTAGGGCGGCAAGGTTGTTGTTTTGAATCCGTATCCGGGCTTCGGCGGCGAGCGATAGGAATGTATGGCTATAAACATAATCGTTGCACATATAATACAATTTGACAAACTGAATGAGGTCGCGCCTATGCTCAGTTATTATAACGAGCACTGCCAAATTGGGACTGCAAAGCCAGGTCTAGCAATGCAAACAAACGGTGAATCAATGCAGACCAGCACATAGGGTTTATTTAAGTCTTTATAATACGATTGTCGTCAATATCCGTACCTACGCCTTAAGAGAGGCCAGAGCTACCTACAACTACGACTGAACTGAGAATTAAAAGAATACTCGTTCAAAATCTGAAAATGTTTTTTTTTTTTTTTTTTAACTTAGCCTTTGTTTTTTGGGCTTTTCTTGTGCGTAAATTCGTCTGAGATAATTTTTCCCGCATACAACTATATCTTTAATAACCCTTAAGTCGTGAACGAGTATTGTACAGTCGGTTCTATCCGACAGCCACGCACGCGGGTATCTAGCCTTGATTAGCACATATCTTATGTTTACCATTGTAGCTGGGCGCATTTCCCAGCGATTTGCCCAGTGAGCCACGATAGCTAGTCGATCGATCGAACATATCGTCTTCACAGAAGGGCTTCTGATGATCCAGATTGCGTGATGGCGAGGCGCCAATGGGCGATTCATATCTATAAACGAACTTGTGAATATTTTTTTGTCTTGTTGCTTATCCTTGAGTTCTTACCTCAATTTGTACAGCGGTTCCTTCGAGGCTGAAGGAGTTCGCGATGCATTGCGCGGATCCAGATTATTTTGCTTCCATTTCCTATACTTGGCATGCTCCTTCAGGTCCTTGGCAATAGCCGAACCAATGCCAGATTTTAGCTTCTCCAACTGCTCAGCCTCTCGTTGCAGGCGCCTGTTCAAAAATGCATTAAGTAGCAGTTTAAACGCTCTAGTCATAGGTGCTCGACTAGCTAGTGCCCTGTCGATTCGTAATTCTTCTCCAACTTACGTTTGCTCCTCGTCATTCTTGACTTTGCCATTGGCACGCTTGCCATTATCGTTTTCCTCGTCGTCGTCATCGGAGACAGGTACACCCTTGTAAGTGTCACTGTAGCGTCGCCTACGCTCCGGATCCGTATAGGGGTATGGAGGAGCTGGGAAATCGTCTCTTTCGATTTTGGGCTGTTCGCCCGGTGGTGGCTTCTTGGCAGCCGGGTAATGGGACAGCTCAATGGGCTCCTCGTTATTCATGCCAGGACTTTTAGGGCGTGGCGTCTCCGACCGTATGGCATCCACCAGGACCTTCATGGCGCTGCGCGTTCGCGAATGTGGACGCGATGGTGGACGACTGCCGGCCACGGAACCGGCGTTGCTGGTCGTCGCATAGGAAGTGGGCCTATGGAAATGAGGCGACAGCGGTGTCTTATCATAAGGATCGATTGGTTTGCGCAAATAGTGGGGCGCATCGGTCAGATAGCTATAAGTGTAGATGCGCGATATATCTTCTCCGATCGGCCGACCATACTCGCGCAGAATAAGCCCCGGACTGACAGTGCGATAGTGCTGCAATATATAACAGGTATATTGATATAAACATATATGTATGTATATATATATGTTAGTTATATGCCAGACACTAGCGTGCGGTGCATGGGACTTTTGGATAAGCTTATGTATATAAAGAAACAAAAAAATCAATGCAAAAAAAAAGAATAGGAAATTATAATTAAATTATAAAACAAACCTTGCGGCTAGAGGAATAAAGTGAACCATTAAAACTCGGTGTTCTGGAACGGATGTACTGCAAAACGAACGATAATAAATCAAAAGGCAAGCTCGAAATCAAGTGGAATGAAATTGAAATGAAAACGAGTAAAAAAACAAAAGTCAAATCATAATACAAACTCAAAATAAATTGCAAAATAGGTGCAAAACACAGGTCAAGGTGTGCTCATTGTGACGGTTACCAGTGCGTGTGTTAATGTGTACATGTCTATGCGTGTATGTGTTTATGTGTGTCTACACTCAGAAAAAATCCCTCTCATGAAGCAAATATAATTTGAGTAAAAAAGCTTTAGCTTTTGGGATTTTCTCTGTGTGCACGAGTGTGTAGTGTAGTGTAGTGTCATATTAGTAGCTGTAGCTGTAGCAGGAGCAAGAGCAGGAGCTGGATGGTAGCTGCAGAGGCTCTGCAATAATTGAGGCCCACCCTACCCACACTTATTTTGTCTCCACATACCATGTCGCTGAGCGCACTGGAGCTCATGCGATCGCATTCGGTGTCTGTAAAGTTGCCATTGGAGACGCCGCCCGTGACCGAGGTGGTGCCTGGCCTACCACCGACAACGCCACCACCAGCACCGTTGAGTATAATGCCAGACTCGGAGGGGCCGGGACCACAGCGTGGATGCCAAATGGCACTGCCCTGCAGGTACATTTCCTCGCCATCGCC